ACATTCTACTACTTTGAATTTCCAAGTATGCGTACTCATCTTTTAAAATGAGTGTAAAACAGTCTTCAGAAAAATGAGGAGGGGTCTTTCCTTGTGGAATGCCCTTATCTTGACTACCTGACTTTAAAGGGACTTTTATATATTCATATGTTCAAGAATTACAGCTCTGCTGTTTGTTCATTTTGAATGTGCTGTAAATGAAGGCTTTTACAATTAAAGTGAGATTTGCCCACACCCAAGAAAATAATCTTTTGACTCTGTGGTGATTGATTGTGCCTAGGGACCCTTCCCACCCACATGTGGCTATGTAAACACAGTTCAGCCTAAGGAGGAGGCTTTATGACTTTTTTCACACATATGTTTTTTCATATTTCAGTGCTGATGAAATTAGAGCATCTTAGGCCAAGAGAAATGGAGACGAAGACCTGAACTTCCAACATTCCTAACCCCCGCCTCTCCCAAGCTCTTCTTGCTCAGCTCTTTTGCATATGATTGCTTTGTGTCCACAGTGCACTTTTAATAAGCACTTCAGATTTTACTACATTCAAAGGGAGATTAAGAGAGGTGAGAGGGGATATGTTTATACCTGAGCATCAGCCTCAGTTATTTCTTACGGTATGTCTCATAAGTATTCTTTACTCAGCCTAAGAAATTCTATATTTTGAAGATTTGTGCCCATAAAATTCATACTAAGTTAATCATAAGAGTTATTAGGGATGGAATGGCTTACCAGATGGTTTCACTGATCCCTATGGAAAACACATAGGAGGACATCACAGTTATTTGCATGTTGCTCCCCATAATTCTCTAGCTCTTTGCTTGATAAGTTTTGCAGCATGAAAAATGATGCATGATCAAGTGGAGAGAAGTGCTGATTTCAAGAGTCTAGGGTTGTCAGAGAGGATCTTGATCATGTGACACTCAAATAGCACCAATAGACATCAGGATGTCACTTCCTACTTAGAGATCCCGTGCGATGCTGGTGCTTCTCGTTTTTCTTGACTTACAGCATAACCCAGGCTAAGCTCCCAAGCCTCATCCATATCTACTCTACAAAGTAAGGAATTGTCTTCTTGTTTCCTCTAGGGGAGCTTGTGATGTTTGGGTTAAAATGACCCTGCAGAGCACATTCTATGCCTCAGCAATTTACTGGGTATTTTTCTCATGGCTAATCCAGATAAATACCTCTCTTTTAAATGTATTTAAAATCCCTCTTTAATATCTAGCTCCTTTCTCCTATTTTGTTGTCTGCAGAGAATCAACAGTTAATACCTCAGTTGTTCTCATGCCTGCATACCTCTTGCTTACTTTACTGATGAGAGCTTCTCAGTTTTTTTCATCTTGCCATTTTAAGATCATGGACTTTTAGCTCAGCACCACGAGATGTGCAAATGGACCGCCAATAAACAGCCAATTTCAGAGAGTGTTTTAAGTCTGTCGGGGCAGAGGGAAGGGGAAAACATACACCTTTAGCTTTGGACTGTGGTCTGTTTACCCTAGAAACCAAGCTTCTGTTGAACAAGTTGGTCAGATTTCCAAAACGCTGAGTCATATGGAAGAGTTTGGAGGCCAATAGGCTAGTCGCCTTCCCCTTCCTGCACCTTCTTCCTACATAAACATTATGGGCAGCATCTCCCCAGGTCTGATGTCCTTGTCCCTGCCCCCACCCTATCCTATTGTCCCTGAGCATGCAGGAGAACTTCCCCCTCCCATCCTTTGTGGCCCTAAACATTTAGTCTGACCGCTTAACCAAGACACACCTCATTTCCTTTGTCTTTCCACTCCACCCTCAGTTCCTTAATCAGCAGTACTTCTTAGTAACGATCTCTGTAACCATCCTTACAGACTTGTAACCATTTAAGTTGTTTTATCTGTAGAAAGATGTACTGTATTTGGAATATGCATCCTTTGAGAAAAAAAAAAAAGTCCTGCTGTACAAACTGAGCTTTTGTGATAGAGGAAAACTAAAGATTTAGACTATAAAAACATTAGTTTCACTTTTTAAAAAAGATGTGTTAGTTTTTGCAGCCAGTCTGGAAACTACTTAAACATCATTAAAAAATATTGCTGCAGGTCATGTAGGTAGTCTCTTATATTCTGGAGGGGAGAAGACAGGGGTCTGCCAATGTATCAAAAAAGTAACTCGAGCAAAAGGCCTAGCTAGCTTAAAGTGCAGGCTAAGCCATTTCAAGGCTCCCCACCTTCAGACCTAAAAAGCACCCAAAATAGTGCCTGTGTCTGCGTATAATGGGTTTTGGCAGATCAGATACATGTTCTAAAAGGGAAGGAAAAAGGAAGCATTGCAAGGATGTCTCCACACCCATGGAATTCACTTAAAGTGTTTCTGCACATTGGCCAAGTTTTCAGCCCAATGACTCGTGTATGGAAGCCAGCAGATCCGTGACCTGCCCAGAAGCCCACGCATGCCTTGTGCTGTCTACAGTACTAAGACAGAGGAAGAGAGAAACTGTCACTCGGCCAACCCAGAAAAGGTTACATCAAAGCCAAAGTCTTAGCACTATATACCCATCAATATGATCCTAATTAGCAATAACAACAGCTGCTTCATAATGTAGAGTTTGGATTCAAACAGCACAATGGACTCAAGTTTTATTTTATCCCATCTAAAGCTCACAGGGTTGTTAAAAATGGTACAAATACAGTTTTTACTTATTAAGTAAATTTATTAAGATGGGAATCTCTTTAATTCAGCAAATAAAATTACATATATATTTGTATTGCTTGGTATATGTCAAGATATCCAGGGTATAATGTAGCAATAAAGCAAAGGGAGTTTGCGTGACCCAGAATAGATTGGGCATAATTAGCCAGTCTTGAGGGCTTGAGCCAAATTTCTCTCAGGAAAGGCTAGATTTGAATGTGTCATCTTGTCTGCTATTTGTCACATGTCCGGTGCTGTGACATCTCAGCTTCCACTGTACTTACAACTTGAAATGTCATATGCAGTGACAGGTCCCAGATTCCTGGAATCTTAGATTTGGAACATCCAATCTAAGGAGTCGATAGGGTTTCCACCTGTGGTCTTTGCCTGGGGAAACCCTCATCTTGGCTCTGGAAAGACAGGAAACAATGAGTCTGTTCTCTGTGCGACCAGAGAACAATGGGTTTGCTCTCTGCACTGTTGTACAAAGGACTCTGCGTCCTGCCTGGTGGGGAGGCCCCTCTGACCCAGTGGCCTTTGTATGATGTCACTTTGCCCAGTACTCATTTTCACCAGCGGGATATATTTTAATTATTCTTTGTCACCATTTTACCTTCAAAGGATTTTTCTTTAGTTCTCTTAAATTTAGACCCTTATAAATTACATTTCCTAATTTTTAAATTATTTAATTTTAATAAAAAAATTTATTGCTAAATTATCTTTCCTAAATACAGTTCTCTTTCAATAAATAATAATGGCAGCTCTAACCCCGCTTTTGTCAATGTTCCCATTCTCTTCTATCTTGACCTCCTATTGACATTCCATATTCATCATGCCCAAAATGAAAAATCGGTCTCAATTTCCCCTGAATCTGCTCCTGTTGGCTCATGCATCTGTTGGCCTCCCCATCATTCCAGCCATCCCAACTCGAGGCCGTAGGCTTTCTTTACCTGTCCCTCTGTCTCTCTCCCCATATCTAATTAGTCCCCAACCCTGTGGCTTCTACCTATCAGGTAGAATGACATTTACCATTTACTGAGCCCTTCCTATATGCCAGCCATGCCGCTAAGCACTTTACACATATTAACTCTTCATCTCTATTTTACAGATGAGGAGACTTTTAAAGGAAAATAACTAGTTGGTCCCAAATCACATCAGTTACTGGCAGAGACAGGATTTAAATTCTAATTGAGTCTATCTAAGTGGGTGTTGCATATCTTTGAGACATCTAGAATATCAGAATTCTGTACATAACCTCGCTTCTTACTAATAATGGTTGATTTCTACTCATTGGAATTAATACATCTCAAGGAGGAAAGGAAGTTATTCAAAGCCACGTGCATATTGTAAACGGGGTGGATCTTGAAGTTTGCATTACACAAGTAAGGCTGTCAGTTTCCTATTTAATTAAACTGGAAAATGTTCTGCAAATATCAGCTTTTAATTATTATTGTAAAGAATTTATTCAGGCAAGAAGATCAACTGAGTTGGGCCTTTTAGAGTAGTTAATTGAGCAATTTCCTTTTGAGGAAATTAGGTGCCATTTTAAACTGCATTGATTTGTCTTCGAGAAGAATATACATATTAAAATTTCAAACATTATATTTCAGGCTAGTACGTAAGTAAGAGGAACAGTGATATAATTTGTTTGCACTGTCTTAGAAGAAGAGTTGGGGGCCTTGAGACTCGACTTCACTGCCATTGTCCCTGCCTCAGAAAGCTTGGATCATAGCATCAATTTTCACACTTATCAAATAGAGACAGAATACAGAAGCCCTTTCCCTTGGTGCTGTAGGCTTTCTTCCACCCTGTGACAGAATGCACTGTGTCATCTATGTCACTGAGACCTATCTTCTTAAACATCTTAATAGAGAATTCAGGCACAATTTGTACATCAGGAAACATTGTAAACTTGTGGGCTTTTTAAAAATATAC